AAACTACCCAATGTTAAAGTGGAACAAAAGCTTGCCTGTTCGGTGAGACCGAGATTGGCTTTGGAAAGCTGACTCAACTCGGTTTCTGTGGCTTCCCGCGTCTTTTCGCTCATTTCCAGAGCACGCTTGAGGGCTGTCCTCTCGCCCTGTAGGTCATTCTTCTCTGACTGCAGTCTGATGACTTCTCTGCGGAAGCCATCGCGATCCTTCTCAAGATTGTGCCTGTCCTCCAACAGTCCAGAGAGTTCGGCCTCCAGCGCCTTCAACTGACCGACAAGTTCAGAGCGTTTGGAAATCAGTTCTTCTGTCCTATTCTGCAAGTGGAGAAAGGAGTTGTTCGGGTGAAATATTATTATAGTCAGGAGAATAGGCCTTTCTAAAAACGCTTTATAACGTTTCAAGCCGTTGGCTTACATAAGTAGACTACCTACGCTTAAGTCAGAACTGTTTATTTTAAAATTGGGCAAAGAGCTGCTATAACATTGCACTGATATTATAAAGCACAGAGCCTCTTGCAAGTTTTATCAATAAGAAAGCTGATTGAGGAAACTAATGGAGACTGTGGAAGGCATTGCGAATACCCGCACTTATAGCATTACTCTGTTTTATTACTCGTCTGAGGTTCTGCGACGGACGCGCAATATGTAAATAAGGAGCATGATAACAGGTAACTGGTTGAAGAACATTGGATTAGGTAACACAGTCTACGGCAGGCAAATAACCCTATTCCCACCGCCAAATCTTTACGTAACCCTATTCCTTAATCTCACCATAATCTTAGCCTATTCATTAAGCATGTTTTTAAAGTCAACTAGAAACGTACAACTAAGAGAACATGCCTACATAAATCAAATGGGCATTCATAGCATGGTAAATAAACTGAAGGATTACTTATTAGACCGTCACCAATGATTGAAACGTAGTGCCCATACTACATTGAATAAATTGGCATGCTGACTTGCTTTTCAGAAAACAGTCTTCTTCAGTCTAGGACACAGGTAGTTAACATGGGTTAGGCAACGGACTAGGAAATAACTCATACTGTTAACTTTTTAATAATTGCCGGAGAAAGTCAAGCAAAAGAGATCTACGCAAAATACGCTCAAAGTAATTATAAGCTAATGCTCAAGGCCGTCCCCACTCTTCTCAACATATCTCTTTGTCAGGCAACTATGGTAAGGAGTGCTCACCAATCGCGTTGCTGGAAACATTCTTCTGGTTCAGCCTTAGGATCCACACAACCGTGCCAAACTACAGCCCACGCATCTACGGTGGTGCGGCCTAAGCCTTCAGTGGCCTGCTATTTTGCTTTACAGCAACGGCTGGCACTTTAAAGCATATATTGTAGTGAAAGGCAATTCTTTTACAATCAAGCCGTCTGCAAACGTGTAATTCTGATGACGTAAGATAAATGAATATAATGGCATGGAGCCTAGCAACGCCACCATGATAAAGAAAACGAATGATGACTAGTCGTTGCATTGTTCTTATCGTGTATTTTATCGTATAATCGATTCTAGGTATATTTGCTTGTGCAAACTCGACTTAAAGGCTCATGGGCGTTGCCAGTGTTTGAAGTATGATAATATAAAACTAGCCACTAGAGGCAACATACCAAAGGAGATTAAGCTTAAGAACGCTGGAATTTTTATAGGACTAAGCTTATCTCCATATTTCCTGGTTGCTTTTTGCAAAGGTTCTTACTGTGAGGTTATCACCCCCCTAAGTAACTGAGGTGACTGATATTACCGACAAAAACATTTCTGGCTTTGCAGCTGTCATCAGTCAGCAATACCCACTCCAAAGTTTTGTGGAAACCGAGGCTTGAACCCACGAGCTCTTGGTGGTAGTTTGCCTATATCACTAGCCACTGTGCGGCTGCTGGCTGGCTGGGCACGGGAGTGAGCCCCAAGGCACAGCGGGATGAATGAGTTCTGCAGCCTATCTTTACCGCTGTTAGTGTCTCCGATCGCCAAAACGGCAAGACAACGAGCCTGTGGCTCAATGGTTAGAGTGATAGAC